GAGTGTCCGTATGCGTTACTCTTTCCTCCTAGTTGTAGGACTTCCACTCAGCCACCGTTCCTGTGGTTCTGGATGATGTCCCTTCCGTCTTTTAGTTTCACTTTTGAAGTGGTTGTTCGAGGCGGCAAACTCCGGCGTTAACCTATGCCGCCATCTGGCCCATTTCTACTGAATTTTTTATTTACCTCTTTGCATATTCTAGCTATAAATCCTATCAATTATATAAGTTGTATATATGACAAATGATCTCCTTCCAGACTATGATTTCATTCATGGTGTGTTTTGACATACAGGAGTTTTGAAGTTTGATAGAGTCAAATTTATGTTTTCTCTAAGAATTTATATACAAACACCGTCTCCTATATAGTTCCTTCTAAGCTTTACGTTCATTTTCAGTAGGTCTGTAATACATCCAGAGGGAGCAGATGTTAATAGCTCAATGATTAAGCGCCCTCAAGGTCCTCAAGATTCCTACGGGCGACCTGTCCCCCACAGACACTTGTGGCCTCAATCTACATCAAATCATTCTTGAACTCTGTAAAACAATCCGCTTCCTTTCTGACTATGGAACTGAAGATTCCTATTTTATCCACATTTTTACATACAAATGTACATCCTGTGATTAGATTTTTCTCCAAGTTGTATGGCATTATTTTCCCAAGGTAAAATATAAAAGAAACCTACCTTTGTCCAGTTGTTCTTCAAAATAATGGCTCTCTTTCCATCACCAAGTGCATGTCTAAAAAGAAAAACAAGAAAAATATTCACGTTTTTATTTTAATATAGGTATATAAACCATCTTACATTTCTATTTGTATTTTTCGAATTTTTCATACATAACCTAGTTAAAAAATATTTTTTTTAGTTTTTAAGGATCCATATACGTCCATTATAGGAAATTTGGAAAATACAGAAAAGTAAAACGAAGGGAAAAGGTCATCCAGAGTCAACAGTCACAACTACTCAGGAATAACTACTTTTCACATTTCTCAGGTACTTCCTGCACATACCTTATTTACACCTCAAACTATGCCCAACTTGTTATTTGTTGTATAGTTTTTTGCCCTATTTCTGTATATTAGCAAGACTCCAGAAATACACTCCCAGATCTTTCACACAACCTCTGTTAAGCTACAGTGGACAGAGCATGAAAGTGGGGACTTGAAATAGTGAAGCCCAATCCCTGTGGGCTGTAGAGTTATCAGCCTCTTCCAGCCTGCTTTCTCACCTACGATGGGGATAATCACCCTGTCCTTCCTGTCTGAAGGAGGGACTAAGTCAGACACTATGCTAAAACAGTACTTTGTAAACTGCCAAGTACTAACAGTTTCCTGCCATATCTTCTATGACCTCCTTCTCTCCCCAGCTCAGACACCCACCACTGCCCCACTTCCCCCAAAACTTATCACCACTCAAAACTGTTCAAACTTCAAAAATCACTAATCGAGACATCCTGCTCTCCCCTATAACCTAGTTTCCTTCCATCTTGTTCAACTATTCCTACTATCTCCTCAGGGTGCCCAACTCAGTAACTTACCACTTTGTTTTTTTACTTCCTTATTTAGCTAGCTTGAGAGTCACTGGTTCACCATTTCATAGTCACATGTTTACTAATTCTTTCTACTCCGCTGTCCCCGTATTTACATCTGGCTCCATGGCAAAGCCCAAGTCGGGGTCAATCCCACTTTCCACTTTCTCCATGCCTGATCTAGGGAGCCAAGTATTGCTGGAAAAGATTACACAGCAGAGCACACGGTAGCACTATTATTCTTGATTAAAGCAACTCGAAGGGGCTTTCAACCACCCTTCTAGATCAAATCATTCTCTAACTCTGTAAACTGATCATTTCAAACCTTGTATCCTGTCCTCAAACTTCCAACTCCCTTCTCTCTCAGCAGATGATCTCTGCCCTCAGTTCAAAGAGTAAAATGAAGAGACATTAAGATAACTCTCAATTTTCTACTACCAAGGACAAATCCATACCTAGCCCTGCCTTTTCTCATTTACTGTTCTCTTCCTTCTCTGGCCAACTTCTCCACCTGTGCCATGTAACTTCTCTATTCTCATAATTTCAATGATCTCTTCTCTCACCTGTATATTAACCATTCCCTCTCAAAAATCAATGCCATATTATGATGAATTTACATAACATATAATTTTACCATTTGAACCATCATTTCAAATATACAGTTCTGTGGTATTCAGTACATTCACCTTGTTATACAACCTCCCATCAACTTTTAATATGGTCAGATCTCTCTCATCTTTAAAAAACAAATACATAAAAATAAATATGCCTTAAGCCATAAGAAAACACTGTTGGTAGCCTACCCAACTGCTTTCCCCTCCTCTACCTGACTATACTTCAGTTGAGAGGGTCTAACTCACTACTACAAGATTCAGAGATACATCTCTTTCTCCCGATTTTTTTTTCTTTGAGGCAACGGAAAAAAAAAAAAAAGATTCAGAGGCAAGTCCTAATTAGTTAAAGCAAATCATGGCAACAGCTGCTCTCCTTTCCACTGATTGGCTTAGGGGTAGTCATGTGACTCAGTGTTGGCCAATGAGACCTGAGGGAAATCATCACTCTTAAAAAGAGATTACAAGGAAAAAACAAGGTAACATATTACCACATAACAATACCCACTAAAAGGCTATATTTTTTTATAAAGAAAATGCTATCTAAAGATAGATGCACTGATGATCAACAGAATGGGATATAGAAATCAGAAACAGACACTTACATACATA